TTTGGCTTTAAATTTCACGTATATTTAAGAAAATTACAATAGTTTCATAAAAATAAATTAGTGTGTTTTACTAAACATAAATTTATATTACCATACTTTGTTTCTATAAAAAGAAATACCTAACATAAGTCAAATCTTTATTCATTCCAATTCTGGGGAAATATAGAGCAACCGGCGTGACTAGAATTAACAAATGCCCAAAATGCGCATCAAGAGAAGCACGTCCAATGTTGCACTGCTATCTTTACCTTCTCTAACTTCTAAACAAGGTAGAAATATAAAGGGTCATGATAACGCTACTATTGCTGCTAGAATGATGGTGTCGGAATAATGTTGTATATTTCAATATCAGATTACGTCTAAATCATACTATCTGCCTTTACTTCCCTGATGTTTCCTTGAATATAGTTTTAGCTTAATCGATATGGCAATCTAGATTTCAGGACCACCAGACCTACAGGCAAGCATCTATCCTTAGTGGTAATGTACATTCTCCACATGACCATATGTAAATAGGTATCACCACAAAGTACATATATAAAAGTGATCGGTAATTCTTAGCAACAACAAATAACAAATACCAAACTGTACTGAATTGATATGGGATGGGAAAAAGGGAAGAAAATGCAAGTAAGAAGCATTGAAAATAAAGTGCTTTAAGTGGGTCGAATGTCTCATTACTAAAACAGTTGGGTAACTGAATTTGTTCCATGGTGAAGATAATCTACTAATAATTTCTTTTTTTTTTTTTTTTTTTTTAAATAATAAAAAATAAACATTATACAGCTAGTTTCTAAAACATCAAAGATTATGCTGTTAATTTCTATTATAGTGATGATTATAATGCTAATGTCTAAATCGTCATTGGCTATACGGTTAATTTCTAAACCACTAAAGCTAATACTGCTAGTTTTATTTAAACTTAAACGATTGTACTGCTAATTTCTACAGTACGTATACTCCTCATTGTAAAACATAAAACATGATATCGCTAATTTCTACAGTACGAATACTCCTCATTGTAAAACATAAAACATGATATCGCTAATTTCTACAGTACGTATACTCCTCATTGTAAAACATAAAACATGATATCGCTAATTTCTACAGTACGTATACTCCCCATTGTAAAACATAAAACATGATATCGCTAATTTCTACAGTACGTATACTCCTCATTGTAAAACATAAAACATGATATCGCTAATTTCTACAGTACGTATACTCCTAATTGTAAAACATAAAACATGATATCGCTAATTTCTACAATACGTATACGCTAAATTATCACATAAGTGATAATATCGCTAATTTATGCAGTACTGTTACCGCTAATTTATCAAACATACGTGATAATATATCTAACTTCGAACACAATGTTACAGCGCTGATAATTTCAAAGATAAAAGAGAAAATGTTATTAATTTATGTGACAAAGTGGAAGTTATTAGTAATTCACAAGAAAGGGTTTATATTTAATGAATGTATTTGACAAAAAGGACTAACCTGCTCGATTCTAATGCAAAATAAAGTGACAACGATTGGCTGAGAACCTTCGCACACAAACCTTGTGATGTTTCAGTATTTTCCACGTACAGTTGTGATATGACCAACATTTTTTTTACCATAAATAACTATGGTATTATTGGTTTGATCATTGCATACACTAATGAAGCACCAAGGATTGCCTAGACAACCCGGAACAGGATATTACTTGGTTTAGTCACAATGGGTGACCTGACAACTTCACTCAGTGGTTCTCAACCTGCGCTCCATGAACTTCCAACGGGCTCGGTGACCACTTCAGGAATATAAATTTAAAAAAAAAAAAAAAAAACAAGTGAATGAAGTAGAATCGAAATAAGAACACTAAAGAAGATAGGCTGACGGAAATTTACAATACTGCATTTGACGACTTCTTTAGCAGACACCGCTTGGTCATCCTGCGGCCACTAGCTCCAAAATGACTATAGCTCGAGAGCGATCCGGATTCTCAGCTCCGTACTATATGAGACGAAATTCTCCGCTCAGACAGCTTACAAAACAACAAATAGAAGCCACCTAAATGCAGAAGCAGACACTGTCCTGCAGCTGTCATTAACTCAGACTGAAATCAGAAAACTGCCTCCACCTCCCCACCCCCTTTCCCCCTATCCAAAATGAAAGGACAGGTGTCTCCTTAAAGGTTTATCAGTTATTTAATAGACTTTACTGTTTATCTTACCAACAGCTTAAAAACTAGTATAATTCAAACAGTTTAATGTATTGAGTTTTGGAAAACATTTCGTGTATGACAAATTTTCCAAATACTGTGTAAAGTGATGGTAATTAGGAATCTATTGACTATTATTATATATTTTAAAGTTTTTGAAATCTAACTTCATTTAATGGACAAGGTGCAATTCTTTAGATAAATCTTTTATTTTTTTTTTAATTTTACATTCGCTTACTGTCTCCTTTATTCTCGTCCTCTCCTTAACATTACTTTCAAACACCACTAAATTGTAAGACAAAGACTGTCAATACAAATGTACGACAGAATACCAACAACAATAACTGTATATATTAATCTATAGTAGACAAACCAACAAGTTGTGACGACAGTGACTGTATTGAAGTAGACGAACTAGTCATGTTTTTACCATAGTCATTTATTCAGATCTAGAAAGGATAAATTAGCTAGAGAATTTGATTCTAACGCGAACTGAACTTCTAAACAAATGTTGTGAACAACAGTTATAGGACGTTGAATAGAGTATTTGGGATTTGACCTGTAGGATTAGCTTTCAATGTGCGACTCGTTTAGTCACGTGCATGTCAAGCTTTCAGAAAGCAGTCAGGAGGGAAGGCTGGATTTATCATATTAAAGATGACTGACATACGAATTGACAGTTTTATTGTAGATATTTGGAAGAAGCACTATCTGTAGAAATGAACATTTCCAATTCATAGTGTTGACGATTTACTGTTTTCGATTAGACATTTCCGGCAAAAACTTGTAATGTGAATTTTCTTCAATGTGAGTAGTGTTTGGCCATTGGTAAACCCTGGTGTAAATTTTCAGTAACAAATGGCTAAGTACATTCCTCCGGCGCTACTTCTGGCTCCTCCATCGGATCAATCTCCAGGTAAAAAGCGTAAGGATCCTCTTCTTTCCCCAGAGCTCCGTGAAGCTTTTCGGCTCTTTGACAAAGATGGTGACGGCTCCATTTCTACAGAAGAACTCGGGACAGTCATGCGCAACCTGGGACAGTTCCCTTCCATGGACGAACTGAACCAGATGCTTAAGGAAATTGACATCGACGGTGAGTGCTACATACATGTGGGTTCATTAATTTGTTGTTGTTGCGGCATTTAGAAGAAGCCTATTCCCTATCCTTCTCCTCCTACTCCCCCTCTTCTTTTTCTTCTTTTTTCTCTTCTTCTTCTTCTTCTTCTTCTTCTTCTTCTTCTTCTTCTTCTTCTTCTTCTTCTTCTTCTTCTTCTTCTTCTTCTTCTTCTTATTATTATTATTATTATTATTATTATTATTATTATTATTATTATTATTATTATTGCGCTAGTCCAACTCTTCACAGTATCTTCCCAAATGTATCGCTGCCTACCAATTGTTTGCATGTTTTCAACTTATCCCTTCGGTGTAAAGTTTAGAAAAGCTTTTTGTCTTTCAATGTGGCTGAAATATTACACTTTTCTTCATCTCTCTCAGCAACTCAGTTTTCCTTTCCAGTCTGTCTATAACTTCTGCATTCGATTATTTTTAATTCAAATAAAATTTTCAACATTGCCTGAAATTCGGGGGTAGCCGCCGCGGTATGGCGCTGTTAGCCCCTCGCCCGTGGGGTCGAAGGTCGTGTCCGAATGGATCGGACTTATTTTTTCTTCTAAAAAAAAAAACCTTAGCTTCCAGGCCTTAAATAAGCGCCAAGTAATGTCCTGAGAAGTAAAGGCGGCCACCGTGAATGTAACCATGTCACCCACAGAGTGCCGATCATTGATCTATCAAATATAAGTCTAGCACTAGACATCCAATGTAGCTGAAGATGTAGGAGAAGGTTCTTTACTTTACTGATATCTGACAGCCATGGAAGAACATTACTGGCGAAATTGCCTGTTAGCACAATTCGCGTAGGTTCAAGATCTACACCGATAAGAAATATTATAACACACATGAGATCCGGGTCGACCCAGCCTTAAAACTGGCTCCGGAAAATGATGACAGTAAAAGCAGTGAGCTTGTATTGATCGCGTCATCCACTGAGTGCCCGCGATTCTGTTTAAAAAAAATGCAAAAAGAATAGACTTCGACAGCCTGTATCAGAGCATCATAATGGAAGTGGCATGGAAAGAGCGGTGATGGAGGGTACAGTTTCCGGGAAAAGAGTCAGAGGCAGACCTATGCGAAGATGGATACAAGACATTGAAGATGCATTGTCTACGAAAGCGAATGGAGCTAGACATTGGCTAGAGAAAGACACTTTTAGGCATACCATGACGAGAGTGACCTTTCTTATAGGACCTGCTCGTTGGTGAGTTATCATTGTAACAAGCCTCGCAAATGAATTCACTGGCTTCAGACTTGTCCTGTTAACTTGTATGTTCGTATTTTGTACTATATTACACTATGAGTTTACTTTTACTGGAACCTTGGTCTGCTCTTTCTGTTCATTACTTCCTTTATTCTTGTACCAAAATGATGTGTCGATTCTGTTCTTCGTCTCTGTAATATGCTCCGTCATATGACAATGTTTGGCAAAGACCAGAACTGTCCCAACTGCTCATGTTGGTGGAGCACTAGTTAGACAAACATAATTTCTCGGCACAGTAATTCGGTCTGCTAGCAAACCAGAGGTTTAAGCTGCTCCTTGTAAGAGACAAGGCACATACATAAATTGAAATAATGAAAAAGGTAATAGGATAATAGGCTAAAATTGGTAACAGGAGATGCCATGTAAACTAAGAGCGATTGGCCTGTTATAACAATACCAGTCATAAGCGTCTGGGTGTTTAAAACATAGAACTAGAAAAATACATTCACATTTCCTATCGGGTGAAAAGCCTTTTTGGTTGACTATTTAAAATGCACATCGGCCTGGCATTTTCTGAAATTATCATTAATTCAATTTTTTTCGACGTTTAATAATAATCGCTTCTTGGTTTTCTTCAAACCCCTATCCAGATGGCTTTCCAGACAACTTTCAGACACTCCTATTTCAAACTGATTTCGCTTTCAGAACAATGATAAATGTGCCGCGGATGACAATGATAAGGTCTAGACTGTCGCTAACACAAGCCAAGGCAAACTTGTGAGTTACCAATGATAAAATACATCCCATGTAGGGCGATCTGAATGATTTTAGGGCAGATTAGTTGAATAGGGGAAAGTCATGAATAGCTGAAGATAGGGGATAGTGGGGGGGGGGGGGTGTGCTGATCTCGAGGCATGGTGTGCTAGAGGATCTGGGTTCAAGCCCCGCAAAAGGCTAGGATTTTTTCACGTGTAGTCCTAATAGTTTCCCCTGGTCTTTGGATAGTAGAATGGACGCCTATATTGTTGTTCGTAAAAATTTCTTTGGCAGTTGGAAATTGAAATGAGTAGCCTAATGACGCTGCCCGGGCAAACTTTGGAGTTAAACATCTACCCAAAAGTATTTCAGAGTCCTCGCCGGAGTTCGTGCACTGAGCTGTGAATCTCGAGACTTAGGCTTAAGTTAGAAAAAGAACGGAGCACTTGTGGGTTACACACGTGTGCCATGACGTTGATCCGTTGGATAAACAATAAACAATCCGCAAAGCCGAAGATATCGTAGGGCCAGTGGCCTCAGCCGAGCAATACACATGGACCAAGAGTGAGTCGACAGGAACATCCGTCAAGCCTCTATCACACTGGGAAGAGAATTAAGACATTTGATGCTGGAGTGTCTGTGAGTGTGCCTGATGTGTTATGATGGCGATGCTTTAACAAATAAATCAATAATAATTTACATTTTTTTTAAATGAAACAAATATTAAAATACAATAACTCCAGATCAGAATTTCTATTTGTTTCTTGCCAGATGTTTGTCACAACTGAAAATTATCGGCAAAACATTTACATTTACTTCAGTTTTAATGTAGGTCTCTTTTTGCAGGCGATGGCTCTTTTTCATTTGAAGAGTTTGTCCAGGTCATGGCGAATGTAGGTGGGATCAGTGAAAACAGTGAACAGAATGAGGAAGAAGAACTTAGGCAAGCTTTTAGGGTAAGTGTTTCTTTACAACGTTTAAGCTTACAGTAGGCGATACTTGGATCTCTCCTTATCAGGCACTTTCTTACTGACTCATTTGTAATTCTCGCAGTGTGTTTGCAAAAGACTCGATGTCTTCAGAGTGTCTATTCTGAGACTATTACTTTGAATGCTCCTTTTCTTGGGTTTATGCTTGCTTGTTTACATAGACCATGGCTGCTTGGTTTGTCTGCATAATTATTTCTCTCCCGTCTGTTCAAGTTGTTATATATTTACATTTTGATATTTTAAATAAGACATGTCTGGGACTAAACGCATTAAAACTAACACATAGAACACAATTTATTGACTAAACCAAATGGGATTATCTACCGACTAAATGAGGAAAAAGAAGTTAAATAAAGCACACTGGTATAGAGTAACCAGTGAAAGCATGTTTAGTTACCTTGGATCTAAAAGGATTAAATGACTGTCAAACATCTCAGCTACCTCGCGACAACTATGATAAAGACATAACTGTCGATGTCTGAACAATACATCATTAGTTGATAAGCTATTACTTCCATGATAAGCAGTTTCACCTCTCCAGGCTGACATACTGGCGACCACGTCTTCTGACTGATGAAGTAAACAGCTTTCATCTATCAGACTGAGGTTGTGGACTCTGCTCGTCTGACTGATGAAGTAAACAGCTTTCATCTATCAGACTGAGGTTGTGAACTCTGCTCGTCTGAATGATGAAGTAAACAGCTTTCATCAATCAGACTGAGGTTGTGGACTCTGCTCGTCTGACTTGTATTGATGCTCCATCTCATCTGGAGATTGTGATGACGAATTATTTGTCCTTTCCATGTTCATAAACCAGAGGCTGGTAGTAAAGTTGCCCATCTGCGGGGAGGCTGTAGTCATGTCATGTTGGTTTATCTTAACAAATACGCATTGGTTGGGGCTGCCTAGTTTGATAAAGCGTCTGTTTTATTGCCAACAGACTCGAACAAACTCCTAGTGAGAACACCACATACACTTTAATGTGGTGGATATCATGGATATATCTCTAGATTCCAAGAGATAAACTCATTTTATTAACTAGACTTCAAGATATCGAGTGGTTGTAAACTTAGGTCAGCTTGTGAGTGTAGTGACCAAGCAACTTTTGATCCTTCCTTAACCACAGTCATTGTTGTCATCTGTCTTTTTATTTGATACTGTTATGGTGTTCTATATGGTGCCTATATGGCGTCAAGAAGATCACAGCCCATGGCGATGGCGAGTGTGACCAGCAAGACCTGTTCGTGTAAGAAAAGATTATCAGAGCATGCGATTTTAGGACGCATGTAGCTATTGTACGTATTAAACTTTCTTCTTCTAGGGCGCTAACCTATTTGCAATTTTTTGAAGCCACAATATATGGTCCGCCCTAACAGCCCCCCCCCCCCCCCCCCCCAACACACACACACACACACACACACACACACACACACACGCGCGCGCGCGCGCATTTAGCCGCTTTAAAAACGTTTTGTGTATTGAACAATGTGAAAGATGGAAGACATACTCTGTTGTCTGTAGGTGTTTGACAAGTCCGGATGTGGATACATTACACCGTCTGACCTCAGAGCTGTGCTACAGTGTATGGGCGAGGAACTGACAGAGGAAGAAAGTAAGTAGCCTCTCGTCTGTGTTGGCACTGATAATGATGGCTCGTTCTTTACAGACAAAAATATGTCTTCGAGTTTTTGAGTGCCTGAATTATTTTAATTTTTCTATTTTGCTGCTTTCAGATGTCTACTTTTGTCATCGTTTTTGGAGTACTTTTTGTCTCTTATTATTATTATTATTATTATTATTATTATTATTATGTGAGCGTCGTCACACTGTTTCCTGTGTGCAGCTCAATATCGTGTAAGTGGTATTTACTGTCTGCATTTGCCACTTTTATAAATCGGTATAGGAATAAACTCACAGGGAGCAAGTACAGCAGGGATCTACCAGTCATCAGTAGAAGTTATCCTCGTCGACAAACGTTTCGGCCCACGATCTCCTAGACGTTTTCAGAGGTGGGCCCACCTGAGTTCATGAAGCTTAGGGCTGGTACCCTGCTGCACGAAATTACCGGTATAAGATAGAGTGGGGTCCGTAGCGTGTGCCGTTAGATCCGTGTGGATGGTGCAGTCACAAAGAACTGTGTCGGTTGCCATGTTTATTTACATTTCACACAGGCAAGGGGAGAGAGGGAGCACTGATCGTCCTACCGATTCGAAACTGTTTCCCCGCACGAGAGTCCTGCCTTTTAACCATTCGGCCCACCACTGCTCACATGTCAGTTAACAATATTTATATACGGCTCTATTTAGTTCACCGGCCTTATGACTTTCTGGCGTCCGATCATTCAAGGAGCATTTTATTTCTGCTGAACAACTGCAACAGCTAGCAAACACTCTGTTAGCTTGCACTGAAAAAAGCTAAATCAAGCAAATTGCTGCACTTAACTTATCCACATGCAGTTTGCTTGTCTAAAGTGGTTTGACGTCACAAAAAAGTGCTGTGTTTACAAGCAATGTGCACTTTCGGAACCTCGAAGGCGATGTATATTAAATTCAATAGCAAGAATCTCTCAGGTAAAGATGAACGGAAACCAATTACGATTGCCTCGATGTCTTGTTAAGTTCACCATACCCGACACGAGCAGGAAAAAAGGCAAAAATCAAGTAAACAATTCAAATGCTGAACAGACGTATTGATTCTCAGGAAGCAGAAATGAGTTAGATCTTTGTACTGACATGTTATTTGTTAGCTATGCTAATAGCATGTAAAGACTTTAGCGACATCTAAAATACTGGGCGAATCTTAAAAAACAAACAAGGAAATATGGTATCGTCACAAATGATGGGGAATGTTTGTTCACGTCAGAAAAGATTACATCAATTTTCATTAAACGACAGAGTTTAAATAATACTTGAATTTTAGCTCTATATAATGTCATCTGTCGGCTCTGTGGCTAAGTCGATGCGAACTCTTCGTAATGCCATAATGCCGGGTTCGATCCTAGCTGCGGGCGATGAGCCTTGTGTTGGTTTCGACAGTGGTATCAAGAAAGCCGACCGTCCAGAAGCAATGGCAAACTACTGGATGTAAACTTGCCTAGAAAAACCACACAACAGCCAGGAGCTGTTAAGGTTGGTTCTGCAACGTCCTGTAAAGGATAAGCAACTAACCATAATGTCATCTGCAGGACTAAAGCAGTGTTTCGACCGTGTAATTAATCGTACATTAAGATACGCTGAGGCTATAGGAAACCAATGCGTAATCCCTTGGTTAAACAGAAACACTTTCTGGCTAGTCTGAGACGTTCTATGGTTAAGTGCGCAGTGCAACACGTCATTTGTGTATCTCCGTTGGAAGAATGCATCGTCTCTGCTTGATTTTTTTTTTCCATTAGTCAGTATATCAGCAGGTCTTTGTAGAACGTCGCACTTGGTCGCAGCACGACTTAAAGTATTTCTTTCTAAAAGGAATTCTCCAGCCCTATATGCCTCATATCTAATACACATTCAATCTCATGTGTCGACATGTGTGGAGGTCTGCCTCTGCCACGTGATCAGGAAACTGCCTTAAATCACCGATATCTCCAGGCCACCATGACGTTAATGGGGCCAAACTATCGCAACTTTCGACAGTTTATGAGTCAATTATTGCCGATGCTCAGATCATGCAGCCTTTCGGTGTTTTTTCTCATTCTTGGTCCATGGTTCTCTATGAATTTCTCTAAGGCATTTCAGTTGAAAAAGCTCCGATGTGTTTCTTAACTGACTAAGATATAGTCCAGGACTCACGTCCCTTACTTGCTACCGAGGGGCAGATATCAAGAAAAGATATAAACCAGAAGGAAAAGTATATCAGCCATATGTGACGACAATGGCGGTGTATACACATCTACACTAGATAAACCAGTTAGATTTGACGACAATGGCTATATGCAAATTTGCAATCGACAAATCAGCCTTATTCAACAACAGTGACTGTATATAGAAATCTACAATAAACAAATCAGCCATGTACAACAATGATTGTATATACAAATCTACAATAGACAAACCAGCCAGATGTGGCGACAATGACTGTATATACAAATGCACGACAGACATACCAGCTATATACAACAACAACAAATGTATATATTGATCTAAAATAGACAAACCAACAAGTTGTGATGACAGTGACTGTGTTGAAGTAGACGAACCAGTCATGTTTTTACCATGGTCATTTATTCAGATCTAGAAAAGATAATTAGCAAGCTCTGGCGGCACTGACACAATATGGGTCACTTCCATACACTCACCGTCCCCATCTTCAGCAGCAAGAGAAGAGTTCTAATTTTAATGGTACCAGTAACTGAATGAAAGTACATCACTCTCATCCTTCCGCTGAATTTTGAGCGTCGGCCAGATCCCCTGGGAAACAACTTGCAGCGCCATTTTCCTCAGACCGTTTTGGTCTATATGTGACTCCTCATTGTTTACTCGCTCCCTTAAAGCATTCACATCATCTAGCTTGCCGTATATCAATTCCCCACCAGGTAGTGCAGAACCAGCATTCACATCATCTAGCTTGCCGTATATCAATTCCCCACCAAGTAGTGCACAACCGGCATTCACATCATCTAGCTTGCCGTATATCAATTCCCCACCAAGTAGTGCAGAACCAGCATTCACATCATCTAGCTTGCCGTATATCAATTCCCCACCAAGTAGTGCAGAACCAGCATTCACATCATCTAGCTTGCCGTATATCAATTCCCCACCAAGTAGTGCAGAACCAGCATTCACATCATCTAGCTTGCCGTACATCAATTCCCCACCAGGTAGTGCAGAACCAGCATTCACATCATCTAGCTTGCCGTATATCAATTCCCCACCAGGTAGTGCAGAACCAGCATTCACATCATCTAGCTTGCCGTATATCAATTCCCCACCAAGTAGTGCAGAACCAGCATTCACATCATCTAGCTTGCCTTATATCAATTCCCCACCAGGTAGTGCAGAACCAGCATTCACATCATCTAGCTTGCCGTATATCAATTCCCCACCAAGTAGTGCAGAACCAGCATTCACATCATCTAGCTTGCCGTATATCAATTCCCCACCAGGTAGTGCAGAACCAACATTCACATCATCTAGCTTGCCGTATATCAATTCCCCACCAAGTAGTGCACAACCAGCCAGTCTGCTTATTTCCCAATACGCAGCATGACCTGGAAAAAAATATCCAAAGGACGCTAACCACCCGGGACCTCTGAAGCAATGTATGCCACTCTGCAAGGAGCATGTTTGTCTTCACCTTTCTCAACATACGCTGTGAGTTAGCTACAATTACGAAATATGTGTGCAGCTGATTCTCAAGCCAGCGGAAGGCAGCAACTAGATGTTGTGATAACACATGCAAGGCGACGCCCATTCGCTTTTGCTATGAACTTCCATGCACTTCGTCTTCCTCTTAACACAGAGCCATCTGTGTAGATAATCACATCAAGTGGACGAGAATTGTCATGAATCATTTATGGAACTTATGATTATGCAGCACCAACTGGCCAGCCCCTGCACTTCCGACGTAAAGTGATTAGACCCTACACAGGTCTGATTCTTGCTGGAACCCTTTGACCCAATCTTCTTCTCGCCCAAATTTATTAAGCCTGCTCACATGTTTAATTGTGTCTTCAGCTTGCGCCATCTAAGACATTTCCTCTTTTCAGTCTGTGACTCTTTGCTCTACCCAGGGCTTCACGCAGGAGATGCGTCTTGTCTGCAGCTTCTCTGAGATCTGACTTTGCTTAACTTTGAGCCTATCTGCAATAGTAGGCAGTGCAAGTATATATCACATACATACTACCGGGGTGTCTGTCTCTTGTACATCACAGAATCACCCACATGGCTTCATTCTGTATACTTTCAACTTTCATCAGCTGACTGTTTAATATGGTATGCATTCCAAGTCCATAATATATCACCGACAGGATCACATGCTGGAACATTGTGGACAGCATTCTTTGTTCCATGTCCACTGCTGCCATAATCTTGAGAGCACTAAGTCCTTTTTCGCATTTTACCGCAACTTCCTCCACATGATCCCTGAAGGACAGGCGTCAGTCGAAAATGATACTCGCATATTTTAGTTTCCTTTCTCTTTTAATGTCTTCCTGTCATTAGCAGTGAGGTTTTGAACATTAAGTCTTACAATTATATTGTCCAGAGAGCACCATCAAACATCTGCCATTTCTTAGGTGGAAACAGCACTCTGCACACCAGTCATTCACTTTGTCTGCAGTTGCCTGTAACTCTTGTGCTGTCTTTTGCATATCACTCCCCTTCAAGAACATCATCTGCAAATGTCAAAATCCATACCAAACCTGGTTTTTCATGTTCTGCAGTCTTGCTTATATACAAATTGAAGAGCACTTGGTAGTTCCAGAGCGATATTACATGCTTCTGAGCTCTATGTGACCAAACGAAGGATAACCATGCGTAAATGCAGAACAGCTGCTTTTGAGTTTACCACCAGGGACACACTCTATTCTCCATCAGCGCAGATATCAAAATATCATACCTGACTCTTTTGTAGCCAAAGTGCCCGATAAATGTCTGCCAATGTCTCTCTGCCAAATGC